GTTAAGTCGGGTATCTTACCAGTTAGATACTCTGAAATTTAATTGCCAAAGTTTAAAATCAGTTATTTATTCAGTACTTGCGGGACCAGTTGATACATGTTGATACTGGAGCAGCCCTATATAGTACACAGTCATGAGCCAATGTTCACGATTTACAGTTTATGTTCGTGATATAAGGTCGGCGTATAATAGTTGTTCAGCCGGGTAAAATGTGGCGGTCTGATATACAGACTATTAGTCCAGATTTACCTGGAAACTTGAAGTCGTACCTTATCAAGTCAAGTAAGTCAGTAAATATCACGTTCTCAACTCCGAAGCGACTATTGTAGTTGTCTCGGGATAGCTTTCAGCGTTCAAGCAAAGATGATTCAATCATGTAAGAATCAAGTCATGGTTATTCAGTCATGAGAATATTCAAGCCAGTCATGTCAAGATCGAAGATGGTCTGTCTAATAAGACAAGACTTATCAGTCGTTTTCAGTATGTTCAGAGCCTCGATTCTCAAATACAGATGATTTGAGAACTCGTAGGAAATATCAGTTCATAATAAACTTTTCTTGAGGTTAAGTTTGACCTCAGGAAAGGTCAACAGTTGCAGGTACAACATGTCGATTTTCGACACGGCGAAGAAGACCAATCAACAGCAGCAGATCATGCCATGATGACAATCAAGCTTTCCATTCAAATATGCATGACGCCAGAAGAGCAGGATGCCATACCATGTTTGGTCACAGTACACTGGGAAATTACAGAGAGTTAGCACTTTAGTACATTGAGGATTACTAGCCAAGATACAGATATGATCAGCCATACAGACTACATCGACGTCGCAGGTGCAATTTTCGCCAGGTGCTGTGTGTAGGTGTGCCGCACTCACTTGATGAGGAGCAGGTATACCGCATGACGATGTGCCGCGAATGATGTGCCGCGTGTCGAGTAGACAATTATGAAAGGTAGTTGTCACGATTGCTAGTTACCCTCATTTGTGCATGTGCGCATCCCTGAAATTTTCCAAGAGTACCTACGACGAGGAGTACCACAACCAACGTTCAAATTGAAGACCTGTAGTCAGCCAGGAGATGAAGATCAGTACGTTCCAGAATAATGGTTATTCAGTGAACGCTTTATTTCAGAAAAGTGTTTCATATTCAGTCAGTGTTAAATCATCAACTCACTTAACTGTGAATTGTTGATTTTTCAGTCAAGATCAAGTCTAATGTTCAGTATTCAATACTGAATTCTCAAGTCATGTCAGCAATAAGTATAAGCTTTATATTAGGCTTGTACATTTCAGTTTAGTATTTCCGAGGACGGAAATATTTTAAGGAGGGTGGATTGTAACACCCCGAGTTTTATTAATAAGGAATTACTAGCTTTTAATATTAAGCTA